AAAAGAATAAGTGTCTTCCTTTCCCAAGTCAGGTCCTTCATCCACTGCTCCAGTCTTTGGCCCCCTCCTTCCCAAGGCTGTCCAGATTACTGCTTCACCATCCTCCCTGCTCCCTCGTTCCTCCTTGGGTTTTTTTTGCACAGTTAAGATCTTCATTCCAATAGCCATCCCAAAATACTACTGCACACTTTCTGCTGCCCTACGCTCAGCGTGTTAATGAAACAGTTTTTACCCATGCCTGTGCATCACCTAGCTTTCTCTGGTATTGGTGGTACCAGATTCTTACCAAAGCATGCTCTGCTCTTGTCTTTATAGACTGTTCAATCAATTTGCAGCTAGTAATTGCAATGCATCTAATTCAGTATACAGATGCAACATTTCCACAGGAAAATCATCCGGCTTCTGAGCAGAAGACTACAGTTTGACAAGCTCCCTACATTAAACCTTTGTCTCCCAGCTGACCCTCTCATACCATCATTCCGCTGATGTACAAAAGTGCATCTGCAGACGAGTACTTTGAAGGGACAAAATACATCCCTCCAACTGAGTCTTTTAAGGAAAGAGGGGTCCTGAGCTACACAAGCTACAACTCCAGCTTTCCAAGCTTTACTTATTGCTATCACTGGTTGTGTTTTTTTCAGCCCAAAGATTATAGAATGACACAAACTGGAAGAGTCTTTGAGAAGTACGGATGGCTGAGGCAAGACCTGCATTGACAGCAGGCTCATCCTGCAGAGCAGGAGTCTGAACCACATCTTCATATCCTTGCGGGTCTCAGGGGCAAAGCCACGGCACATCTCCCGAAAGCACATCTTTGACATCTGCTGCCCACCAGGGGTGCCTCACTGAGGCTCAAGGGCAAATTTAATTGACTGGTCAGCAAAGTAAGAATCAGAGGCAGTTCAGCTCAGGCAGAGTTTCTCTAAAAATTGTTACGCAAGCTTGACTGCAGTGTCTTCTCAGCTGATGCATGCCAGCAGATCAGCATTTGCTACATCTTAGTTAATCCTCAACAACTGGTTTTAAAAGCCTACTATTGTCTGCAAGTTACACTTTAGGAGTGGGAGGCTATGCTTCTAAAACTGGAAGTTAAAAGTTTCCATTTCCGTTATAACTTCAAGCATTTAAGCTCAGTTTGCCGACTCAGTTATCTCCACAGAGGAAAAGCAGAAGCTTCTGTCTTGGAGAAAGCTGCACAGCTGTAAACATCCAAGTGTTTTTTCAAACCTCATGATGGCAGTTAAGCACATTTTGGAACAGGAAAACTGATCGCCTCTAAAGAGAGCGGTCCAGGAGCTCTGCAGATCTAATCAGAGCCCAAGCTCGAGATGAGGCTTTCGAGCACCCAGTGATTAAGAGGCTGGACAGAGCCTCTCAGTTACACCCCAGCCGAAGCCGCGGGCTGCGGCGGCAGCGACACGGG